TGCTAGATAGGAGAACCGCTAAGGAAAATATCTGTGTGCTGTACGTTTCCTGTAAGATAAAGATAAGTTACGAGTATTACAATACAACTGATAATGCTCATTTTCACAAATTGTATAATGAGCTGAAACTAATACGTTATAAGCAAAGAATGAAGGCTAACCGTCTGATCAAAAGCATCTATTCCTTCAGTATCCAACAGTAATAGATTGTATTCAGTCCCATCCAATGCAATTCTCTTAAAGGGCGCACTCCACAACCATAGCCCTTTCGTACATGGGCGATGTGTAGATGCTACTTGAAATCCACCACTCCTACCAAGAAGCTACAACAGAGAAGTCCAAAAACAATTATGTTACTTTCAGCAACATTAAACCAGTTGGGAAGAAAAACAAAAGCAAGCCTAGTGGTCATAAATTCATGGAGGGAAAGAGCTGATCAGAAACGGTAAGTTCTTTAAACAGTAGGTTCCATCTCTATATCTTACCCTTATTGTGAATCACACCCCAGTTTTGTTTGACCTTATAATCAACATCTAACATAACAGTACTCCATCGTAAATGCATACGTCCTTGTCTGAAGAGTCGATAATACCCAAACATTGTTGCAAAAACATGACAAGTCCAAGAACTAGAGAAACCTAAAGTAACCCTACAATTATCCAAGTCTTCGACAGTGAGGTAATTCCACCATTATCCAAGTCCACCAAGATCCACACTTTGGCCTTTCAGAGCATGTCCAATCAGCCAAAAACTGAGACCTAAAGTAAAGAAATCGTCTTGGTAGCAATCACCAAACCAATAGAGCAAGGGGTTAGCTCTCCAGCGGGTCCACAGGTAAGTAGGTCCATTACTTTTACCGGAGGCCCTTCTCACTCAAGCTAAAGCACTTGCTTTTCTCGTTAGAGACCAACGTCTTGGGGCTAACGTGGACCCTACAATTCCTACACTTAATTAACTCCCCTAATTCTACAATGCCTTACAATCATAAACCCTAGAATTCAATTCACAGAGAGAAAACTGAAGCAAAACGATAATTAAGATATGTCCACAAAAACTGAGAGAAGAAAAGACGAGAAACCGAACCTGGTTCAGAATAAAGCTCTTGCCCTGGCGGGCACGGCCGCAGACCGCGACGATACCAATGGGTTCCTTAACGAGCTGCAGCATGGAGACCGCCTCCTGATCCATCCGGAACTTCCCATTCTCGTCGCAGTAGACGAGCCGTATCGGCCTCGGGGGACCCGTCACCGGTCGGGAAGGCGAGGGAGAGAACGACGGCGACGGCGACGACGGTGAAGAATCGTCTTTGCCTCTGAAGAATCTCCTCATGTTTCACCGTCGCTCTTTGTTACGACGTCGTTCCGTGATTTTGCCTTCCTTCGTCCAGTTCACTGAGGAGGGAGAGAGAGAGAGAGAGAGAGTTTTAAAATTGGGGAGGGAAAGAGGTCGGAGGTTTTTGGGGAGCTTTACAGAGCAGCGAGAAGGAGACGGGGCAGAGTCAAATTACGATTATGGGTTTGGTTGTCGTGGTGGAGATTGAATTATGTGAAGGGCTTTATTGTATTTGTATACAAAGGTGGATCCCAAATCAGAAGGAAAACTAATAAAAAGAGTTTGAAAATTATGAGTTTTAATAATAAAGATAAAATAAAGGATAAAATGAATAACATCAAAATTGATTTTTTAGTATAAAAATATAATTTTTTGTCAAAATAAACAGGAAAGTTTTTTTTTGTTAAAGTTGACAAATCGGAACGGCAGCGTGGAAACAAAGCTGACTTTGCAGTCGGCTCAGCTGCTACAGTATTTGCATCTTTTCTGAGAAGTGTGTAACGCAGGACCGCCACTAACTTTCTTTTGTAGCAATGGCGGCCCAAAAGCAAGCCCAATAACTCTCAGCATTGCTGGGCTGGGAAGACTATCAAGTTCATTTGGGCTGGGCTGAGCTTTGTGCGTGGGAAGGTAGGGTGATGAGAGAGGTTTAGGTCCGTTGGAAAAATTGAACATTAAACCTTTGGGTGCATGGCAAATGTGTTTGAACTTGAGGAGGTGCCAAAATTTCTATAACTGCATAGCTTCTTGTTGTTGCGGCCGGTGCTCCCTAACAGTGGTCGAGCTTGTGCTGATCCTATACAGGTCTTTACGTCCAACTTTCGTTTGTTTGCCACTTATTATTATGGTCTGAGAGTATTCTTCTTCACTTGTAAGTGAAAGGTTTTAGATTCAATTATCGCCAAATGTGAATTTGAACCACATTAGTGTTAGTCCATTGTGAGGCTTAGCCCACTTCCCCACTTCCCCACTCCCTTAGTGTAGATAATATTTCTTGTTGTGCATGCGCTATCCTGTTAGGATCATAATAAGAAAAAGAACAAGGGTAAAGAGAAATTCCAAAAGCAAGAATTGTAAATGGTCATTTCATTCATGCCTCTCGTAATGAATCTATTCGACTATTCCACAGAACATGTGTCCAAATGAATCTGTCAACCTACGTCGTACTAATTTCTAAATAACAAGTATTTTATTATGTCAGTACAAGTAACATTTTGGAAGAGTGGAAAATCGAACGCAAAACCTTGATTATCCACAGGCTCCCTAATTTGACTAGAGGAAAAAAACAATATAAGGCTCAAAGTTGGCTTATGAAGGTGGTGGCCGGACCAGATAGGATTTTGGAATTGCAAATGTTGATGATACCAAAACACCCAATAGAAAGGAGTAAGTTATTAAACGTCAGAGTTAAATAAAATAAATTCAATGGAAGGTCTTCGGCCTTCAAGGCATGCTGCAGGTATTTGGACATTGGAACGTTAAATTCTTTAGGGAGTTTTGAAGCTCTTGGGGGCAATGGTAAGACAACCTATGCAATGTTTATGTATAATGATCAGCTCGTCTAGCGGCATCCGATTTTCATTTAGTTAGAGGAACATGTAAGTTTACGATTCACACAATATATATAATGGTATTGTTACTGAGTTGGATGCCGAATTGTGTACAAGTATGGCTTCTCAGTAGCAGTATTTTTTATCACCATTCTCAAGTACTGATAATGTTTATTACCCTGCTTATTATTATTTAAACTCATGTAACGGTGATAAATAGGATGGTGAACATCACCATCACTTGAATATAGTGATAAAAAATATTCTGTATTCTTATAAATACTGAACAATAATAACTAATTGAGTGAATTTAAAGCAGTTGTCGTAATGCACATGTGGCCCAACTTGTATTATTGTTAAGGTATTGAATATTATATGCAGTGGCTACGCTGGAAATGGTAACCATTGTTGTTGCAGTCGGATGGGATCATGGGATGATCTTAATTAACAATTAAACAATTGATTGGTGCACGTCGTGAGGTTGTCATTTTCTCACACTCCTATTTTATCTTTATTTGTTTAGAGAAGTGTTAAGATGATTATTTCAAAAGTGAAACTTCATATGGACTTTGTCATTTTATGTCTTTAACATAATATTTTATAATATTGACATAAATGTCAGAGCCAGAATTTTCAAATAATTAGGTCATAACATTAACAAAAAAAAAAACTTTATTGGGTCATTTCGTCAAGTACCTAGTAGACACTGCCAATTCCTACCAACATATGTCTACAACTATTATATTGTTTGTAGAGATTGTCGCTATTGGATGCGAGATATTGTAGAGTAATGTTAAATATTTGTCAACTAAGGTATTTCAGTGAGCACATGGTGTGCACAATAAGGTCGCATACAAGAAAAGAGAAAAATGAAGATAAATATGATAGAAGAAAATAGAAGTAAGAGGAGGATGTTTTTATTTAGTTTGCCGTAATTGTTTATAGATGTCAAATACAATATACAAACAAATATACATGAGGGTTTGATGTTGTTGGGGTCAAGTTTAACCAAAGACCCCATACTAAACTCCATCACAGATTGATACGAAAATTAACGTTAAATTGTGAAGTGGCAAAAAATCTATAAAGAATTTCATTTTGAAAGAGCATCCTTAACATTCCTCGTACACATCCACTCTCAAGTAATCATTTTCATAATTCATAACTGACTAATCATTTCCTTAAGTCATCTACAAAGACGGTTATGTAGGGGCAAGGCCAGCAATTTGATACCGAAATGGACTTGTACTTATGACTTCTGGTCCAGGCATTTAAGCGTGTGGAACCCAAAATCCACCACCACAATCCTTCTATGTTATTTATTTAAAGTAAACTAATATTACAGACCGACACATTTTTCTCCCCACATTTTTTTTTATGCATCAATTTTTGGATTTTATTATCACTGTTTATTGACATGAATTATGCTAACAACAGTCACGGTATTTGAGATTGTCAATTATTAATACACATTGGTATTCATATTTATTTTTTGTTCCTCTATAACTTAGTGACAGTAACTCATATGATGACGATTTTTTTTTGCAAAAGCTGACTTGTATCTTCTTTCCCTATAACCATTACTTTACTTTTACTAGAATTTTACTTATGTTGCTCTAACATTACATGTGTAATAAGAGTTTAAACCCGTTCATATGCAAACTCTTGTTTTAGTTACTTTAGGTGGATAGCTATTAGTTATGAACTGACATTCTCGTTAATAGTTAAGAGTAATGTTAGGGAGATTAAATTTAATAAGCTAATTAACATAGAAGTTGATAATTAGATTATAGCTTAAACGTTGATAAACGTGTTGATTCTTATTGATGATACATTATTTAATTTGTAAATTTTATTTACAAATTCAACCTCATTGGCATTACCCATTGTTCAAACAGGACACGCCAGCATAATCGACTTTACCTTCGTAGCATTTTTTATTAGTGGATGTACGAATCGACGCATAATAGAAAAAAACTAGTGGAAAAGGCCATCTCAGTAGGGTAGAGATTTTTCAATGTGACCATCATACAGAATAATACACCACGTATTGTTATATAAATGATGAGATATATGTGTTAAAAAATTAATAACTTAAAAAATAAAAATTTTCACCACTTACATAAAACATATGATGTATTATCCGTATTCCTATCACAACTAAAAATTTCTGCCAGACAAGCATGGGTCTTACTTGCAGCAACCAGCTCAGCCCCATTGGATGTTGCCTGCTGTCCATGATTAGCATAAATTTTGAAAAATCACATCATATCATGGATTATTACTAGAACTTTCAGATTAATTATCTCCCAATAACTCGTGTCCTACAAAAATATTCAACAAAATTAAAGACAGATACATGAAGAAATGATCACAGGATCTGCAATTTTGGAGCTGTACGTGTGAAACAAGTATTTCTTCAATCTTTTTTCTTTTTTTTAAAAATCCGAATACGATTAAAGTTCGCTGAATTACAAGCCCAAAACCTCCAAAAATAATACAGAAGAAAAGGTGAAGAAAAAATCAAAGCCACAAAGCTCCGGCTTGTTTTAACACAGGCACAAGTTCACCTGTAATATGAGTAGCCATAACCCTCTCCAAACCACCAAACAACTTCCCGCCAACAAACACCACCGGAAACTGCGGCCAATCCTCCTGGTCTGCTCCGATCAGTCTCCGCAGTTCAACGACAACCCCGATCTCGTCTTCCTCGTCCACCTCGAAAACCGTAGGGTTGACCCCGTGACCGAGGAGCAGCCGCTTGACGACGTGGCACATGCAGCAGCCACGTCGTCCGACAACCGTGACAGCATTCTCCGACACCATTTTTTGTACGCTGGCCGCCGCTAGGTGTTGCTCACGTGAGGCGTCGCGTGAGGACGGCGTCGCGTGGCCGGCTCGGGTGCCCGGAATCCATGTTCCATATGGGATAGTTTGTGATTGCATATTGCAATTAAAGTTCAACTTTTTCACAGAGAGAGAGAGAGAGAGAAAGAGAGGATTTTCAGAGGGAGGGGCGGTGATGTAGAAGTGGCGTTTGAGGACAGGGGATTTATAAACGGTAGAGAGAGAGAAGAGAGAGGAGAGAGAGGAGCGTAGAGAGAGAGAGGATTTTCAGAGGGAGGGGCGGTGATGTAGAAGTGGCGTTTGAGGACGGGATTTATAAACGGTAGAGAGAGAGGAGACAGAGGAGACAGAGGAGAGAGAGGAGCGTAGACTCTAACGTCAACGGCAGTTGCGCATTGTTCGACGTCACAGGTTGCTGTGGGTGACGTTTACTTTCGTCACCCGCGTTGTTTAACGCCGGACATATTCTCCAAGTAGGGCTAACAGATGATGCACCGCACACGTTGCCATTAATTTTCCCACCCGTTTTGCGATTTTTGCCTTTGTTTGTTAGTACTCCAAGCTGGCCATACTCTTTTGCTCTCTTCTACTTTTGTAACGAAATTAAAATAAAACCACAACCCTAACATGCATGAATCGAAGAGTTGTGCTAGAGACAGTTACTTACGTTCGAGTTAAGGTAAAATATTTGCTCATGCTCTTTTTGTCTTATGTTCTTTTTCTGACAATGTTAAAGTAAAAAGTATGATTCACACATGTGCTTGCATGCGAAAAAGTTGTGTCAACGACGATATTTAACTACATATTATCAATTGTTCATTCTTGTGAGAACATTTGTGTCGATATATAACTGACAGATTCCAAGAATTAGTTTCCTTGTAGTCAATATAGGGTATGTCCACAAAAAAAAGGAGTTAAAAGCAGCATGATGTCTGCATGATACATGCCTAACATAATTCACTAGTACTTGGAGAGACACCTGTCTATTTCCCTTTTGCTTCTCTAAATGATGTGTATTTAACTTAATATTTGTTCATGCATGATATAAAATGATACTTTATCATTAATTCAGAGTTATTAGTAGTGCGAAAATTATCAGCACGAGCTTTTTTTTTACAAAAACAGAACATAAAATGTACTTCTTTTTTATAAAAAGGGAACCAATTGGTGGCTTCACCACGGCAGTACACCATTTTGGAGCCGATAAGACTCACAGAAGCATTTTAACATTCTCCTGGTTACCATCGTGTGATTTACCAGCGCCAGGAATCGAACCCAAAACATATCAAGTGAAATACGAATATGAAATTCGTTTCTAGTTAGTCACTAGGTCACCAAATGGTGATTATAACATGTATTTCAATTATTGCGAATGAATGTTGTTTATACCATATTTAGGGCCTCCGTATTTAGATCTCGTACAAATACTCGGGGGACTTAAATGTAATTATGTGATAAAGGAAGGGGCAAATATGTAATAAGTGAGGAGTCCTTATTCTATAAAAGGACCCCTCACCCTCACAATTGGGGAGAGGCTCATTCTCACCCTCAGATGCCATTTCTGAAGCTTCTCTCAACGCTCTCACTCTTAGAGCTCTCTCTCTCCCTCACTTCTCAGAGAAATATAATACAATCAGTGTGGACGTAGCCCAAACCTTGGGGTGAACCACGATAACTCTTGTGTCATTTACATTACTTGCAGATTCACGGTCGGATTTACGTTGTTCCAAGACCATCCGGTTTTGTGCATCAACATTTGGCGCCGTCTGTGGGAATCGACACAAAAAACTATGTCGGTTCTCTTTCATTTTTTAACTTCCATCGTGAATCTGCAGAATCTGCAAATCTGCAAAATCTGCAAAATCCATTTCAAATCTCCAAACACCACTCAACTCAAGAAAACCTCAACTCATCGTTGTTTATTTCACAATGAGCCTCTCTGCTACTTCAATCTATGCCGTCCATCACAACATCATTACGGTAATAAACACAAACCCAACAACCTCCTCAATTAGGCATCGACTTCTTCTTCCCCAGAAAGAGACCAAAAATGGCGGTGCTCATTGCTCTGTCTGTCGCCGGAGCTAGTGCTGGATTCTGGCTCTCCAACGACCTCCAAAAGCTGGGTTATCTCCAACCTAGCCTCTTCTTCTCCATAATTTCATGGATCTCGGGATCCAAAACCTGTAATCCCCCATCGAAATTACGACCAGAAAAAGTCCAATTATTTACGGATAAGGAAATGCAACTTCGTCTTCCAAAAACCTTCATTTTAGCCTCGAGCTCCGAGCTTCCATTTTTCAAATAGCCGTTGCGGTCGGCAACTGCTGCTTCTCTGAGCTCACCTCCACCATTAAAGTCTGCTCTTCCGTCTGCGTCCAACCCTTCTTCGCCACATGGCTCTGTTCCAGCAGCTGCCCAGTTTCTTCACTCTCTCATCTCGACACTCTGTCCAGTTTGAGATCGTTGATTATATCGACACCACCGCAACTGTCCAGTTTGATTATATCGATACAGACAGCGAACACAACACGGACATGAGGATGTTTCTCTCTCCGCCTCCATGACTACTCTGCACACCCGCAGTTGCTTCGACCACCGTAGAACAATCAGAAATCAGCGGGTTTCCATTCGAGCCCATCACTCCAGGAGGCCGGGACCGGAGGTCAGTGGTATGCGGAGCCGGAGGAGCCTCCGCGGCGACATCATTTGCTGAGCTGTTAACGAAGCAGCAGGAATCTAGCGCTGAGCCTGGGGTTGGGGTTGGGTCCGCCGAGGAGGAGAGGCCTTCTACTGATTTGGTTGGTGGTTCAAAGGAAGAAAATAGAGGTGGTCAGAAGCACAGAAGCACAAGCAACCAAAGAGCAGGCAGGAACTCCGAGTACTTCGCTGAGAACCCCATCTCAGAGCAAGAAGAAAAAGAGAAATGGAAAGATCAATATCTTTTCGGGTTTTAGCTGCAATGGATCTTGTTCAGATAAGAAATCATTATCAATGGGAACTTGAAATTTGCCCAGTACTTGAGTTTGCCCGTGGAGTTTAAACCTGAAGTGCCCAGTAACAGAACACGTGAATCTGAACATGCTTTGACCACGATAGCAAATGGTCATTGAGGTGGGGTTCTGAAGACAAAGAAATGGAGTGGGAGGCCACGTTCTTTACGTTATTTACATTTTTTACAGCTGGAGTACACCATCTTGTGTTCAAACAGCAGAAACCAGGCTGAAAGAGAAAGGCAGTGGCGGACAAAGCAAAAGGAAAAGAGAAAGAAAAGGGAAAGTAAAAGCAAAAGCAAGTGAGTGTGTCTGGAGGTGGAGAGATCAAAGAAAGGAACAGAAAAGAAAAAGATCATGTTGTTGGGAGAATATTTCGGAAAGCAGAAAAGAGAAAGCAAAAAACAAAAGCAGAAAGCAAAAAAGAAAAACAAAAGATTTTTCTATTATTATGATTTCTTCTGTCTACCAGGTGAAGATATAGAGAGAGGGTAGCAGAAAAACACTGCAAAAGCAAGGAATAAACACCTCACCCGAATGATGTAATTTATTTTTATTATCTTTCGGAGACATCTGTATAAACCCCATCAGAGGGTAATATGTATAAACCCCATCAGAGGGTCAAAAAAAAAAAAAAAAAAAAAAAAAAAAAAGGAAAAGCCCAAAACAAATGGGCTGACATGTTGTGGAGGAGCGAAGGCCCATAAGCTCAAAATAGCACCAACTAGGTCATCAAAAGTACGCCTAGTACTCCAAATAATACTTGAGCACTACTCATGTCATTCATACATAAACATTCATGAGCATCACTCATGACAATCATACATAAACATTCATGACCATCATTCATGTCAACATTCATGAGCATCACTCATACTAACATTCATGAGCATCACTCATGTCAATCAACATAAACATTCATGAGAATCACTCATGTCAATCAGCTTCAAAAGCTTAATTTACAGAGCTTTAGCTTCAAAAGCTTAATTTACAGAGCTCTAGCTTCAAAAGCTTCATTTATAAAAGCTCCAGCTTCGAAAGCTTCATTTACAGAGCTCTAGCTTCAAAGCTTCACTTGCAAAGCTTCACCTACAAAGCTTCAGTGCAAGGTATACAAATACCGCCTCAGAACAACCGCCACTTCGGCCCATACATGGATTCAATTTGAAGTCTCCAGCCAACAGACTCTATTGACCGAAGACTTGGGGGACTACATTATGTACCATATATTGGGCCTCAATTGGGCCTCATGAAAAATACTTGGTGGACTTAGCCCATTATTTATGTATTGAGGAGCGAGCCCTTATTCTATAAAAGGGACTCCCTCACCTTCATTAGAGAGCAACGCCGCCAGCTGAGCAACCGCCTCGCCGCGAGCATCACTCCTAACCCATCATTTATGTATTGAGGAATGAGCCCTTATTCTATAAAAGGGACTCCCTTACCATCATTAGAGAGCATCAACTATAGCCCATCATTCATGTATTGAGGAGTGAGCCCTTATTCTATAAAAGGGACTCCCTCATCTTCAACGCCATAATCTGAGCCAACCAAGGCAACATAAGCCACAAGCCGAGCAGCCTCGCAGCGTGTGCTACTTCTAGTTGAGCATCATTTCAGATTAAGCACTGCCTCATATCGAGCATCAGTTCAAGACAGTATCTAGTTACTTCGGCCCACACATGGACTGAATTTCAAGTCTCCAGCCAAAAGACTCTCTTGACTGAAGACTTGGGGGACTACTGTTTATACCATATTTAGGGCCTCCGTATTTAGATCTCGTACAAATACTCGGGGGACTTAAATGTAATTATGTGATAAAGGAAGGGGCAAATATGTAATAAGTGAGGAGTCCTTATTCTATAAAAGGACCCCTCACCCTCACAATTGGGGAGAGGCTCATTCTCACCCTCAGATGCCATTTCTGAAGCTTCTCTCAACGCTCTCACTCTTAGAGCTCTCTCTCTCCCTCACTTCTCAGAGAAATATAATACAATCAGTGTGGACGTAGCCCAAACCTTGGGGTGAACCACGATAACTCTTGTGTCATTTACATTACTTGCAGATTCACGGTCGGATTTACGTTGTTCCAAGACCATCCGGTTTTGTGCATCAACAAATGTTAAATTTTTAATAATAACTCATTTAAGTTATTAGGTGGAGGGTTTCTTGAAAAGAAAAGGAAAGAAAGAAAAGTAAGGTGGGTGAAAGGTAAGATCCAATTTCACCAAATTCACTAGACACACAAATGTTAAAATTAGGCAACTTAATATAATAAAAAAGTCATTTACAATTTAATAATACTCATC